ACAGGTATTTGTTCCCTTAGAAAGAGCCCTTTTTATCTACAGAGGGAGCGGGTCCACCATGTTGAACTGGGATGTTTCTACAGTAGCCCAGAACAGACAAACACTGGGTCTTGATTCATGTCCACTCTAGTTTCCGCTACACGTTTGGAAGGCTGAGCGTTATTCAGTTGGTTGTAAAACCTGATAGGTTAATTTATCTCACAAGTACCACAAACTCAGTTTTGTAAGTTAAAAACATTCTTGATTAAGCAGCTGTTACTTTAAATTATAGGGACTTAATTTTGTGATCTTTATTGTTACTGTGAAAATAAAGTACTGATTTATGAACTGACTTATGAGGATAAAGCATGAGTCTGGCACATTACTCAGGGGGCATTTCAACAGGCTGTTCACTGGAAATACAAACCCACTGGGTGGTGAGTAGGTTGAGTCATTTATGTTATTTACTGTGTTTGTAGGTCAGCATGCTTCCTGCAATGACTATCAAGTGTCGTGGTCGAAGTTCTCCAAGGTAAGTGTCTCATCTTCTCCGATGTGGTTGTGCCATCTAGTGGCCAATGAGAAAGCACGTTCGGTGCCTTCTGCTGTATTGTTGATCCTGGATGTCTTTATATTAGTAAAGTAATGTTTAAATGTCGAAACTCAGCACTCATTGTACGTTTTCCATGTGTCATACATTCTTCAAGGAGAACATCCCAGGGAAGCCCTTCAGTTTCTGGATGTGGCTGGACTCCATCCTGGAGCTCATCAAGAAGCACTTGCTGCCAGTCTGGAATGAGAAGTAAACCACTTTTCTGTGTTTCACCCTCAGTAGACTGCTCCTCTGAGGATATTATGATCTCCAGAGGAGATTAGTTTGTATTGAGGAAATTAATACACACTCAGGCACTTGAGATTCTCTAAGTTAAGACCACCTGTTCCAAAAATCTGTTACTTCCTGTTAAAAAGATGATGTCCATCCTCGCTGGGGTTTAGAGTTTATTTGCTTTTTAATTAACAGGATTAATGCAAATTGCAAGCAAATAACCGATGTGCATAATTTACGACTTAGCCAATGGTTGTTACTGAACAGTGTGTCAGGATAATGCAGGAAGCAGGAACAACATTAAGCTCTTCTCTCTTTTACCTCCACCATCCATGCAGCTACATCATGGGCTTTGTGAGTAAAGAGATGGAGCGCACCCTGCTGAAGGACAGAGAGCCGGGCACCTTCCTCCTACGCTTCAGCGAGAGCCACCTCGGAGGAATCACGTTCACCTGGGTGGAGCACAACGACAACGGTGAGGTCTCTCTCTCCAGACCACTGCCCTACAAAGGCAGAGAGCAGGAACAGAGCAGAAAGGGCGGAAGTTGAGAGAAAAAAGGGGATAAATTGAGTCCATAAACTAACAGATCGGATGTAATTCCTTCATATTATGTGTTTTAAAGCAAAAGATAATTAATGTAAAGTCAAAAAACAATCTGACAGTTACTTCTCCTCTGCTAAACCGACTGATTTTTAATGTCCGTAACTGAATTTAGCTTCTGTCCTATTTATGTGGGATAATTAACTAAATTACATAGATGTTAGTTCACCAACATTTAAATAGTTTATTTGACAGTTAAGGGGCTTTAACAGGACCGTTAAGTTTAGTCGTGGTTTGTTTTTACTGCACATTAATATGTTGTTTTCTTTGGAATTATACTGTACTAGAAGGTCTTAACTCAATTAGACTAAATATGTGATTATATTTTGGCATTACAGGGTAAAAAACACTCATTTTTTAATACTTTTATCCAGTTAAATATTATTTTTTTAGGAAAACCCAACACATTTTGCTCATAAACATGTATTTTTTACATACTATTCATCCAGGGTCTGTGATATAAGTCAGTCAGTCTCTGGCTTGTTGTCTTTACTAGATGTGACGCTCTTCTTTTCTAACAGTGTTTTTTTTTTTTACCAACAGGAGAGGTGAAGTTCAACTCTGTGGAGCCCTACACTAAAAACCGGCTCAGCGCTCTCCCGTTTGCCGACATCATACGAGACTACAAAGTGATCTCAGACGGGGTCGTCCCGGAGAACCCGCTCAAGTTCCTCTACCCCGACATCCCCAAAAATGAGGCCTTCGGGCGGCTTTACAACAGCCAGCCAAGCAAAGGCAAGAGTGCAAAGCCTTTTCTTCATTTAGAGTTCATGTTTTTTAATGCTTGTGCTGAATCGACACTAATTTTTCTCTCATGTTGCTGTTACATTTCCAGTCCATCCATACATAGCATCTACCCTGATTCCCATCTCAGAATTGCCGTGAGTTTAAATTTAAAGCATTTTTAAAGCCTTTTTTGACATTTAATTATTGAATTGTGACACGAGACATCAGACATATATCTACATAACACTTACATATGAATTCCCATCGATACTTATCTCCCCTTTCTCTGTTACACCAGCAATAATACAAGCAGCGCATCACCTTCTTGTCAGTCTCCTGAGCCACCAATGACTCCTGGAGAGTTTGACATGCTCAGCGAGCAGCTCTGCTTTGACATCGACAACGTGAGTTTGCACATATTACACACTATTTGGTGGACTGTCACACCATTTCTGGTGTCACAATACCAGAAATTTAGTAGTAGAGTAGTACCAATAGCAGTGAAATTCCACTTTTGTTGTAAATCCTGACAAATCTGTCATTTTATTGAGGTAGCGGTGCGTTTCACCAGTCACCTCTCAATGGTGTCATATCCCTTTTGCACATTTGTCAGTATTGTTGTCTGCCAGAAGCTGTTTTATCCAGTTTGAAGCCACATTTCTATGATATACTTCATAGATCTCAGTTGTTTTTTACTCTATATCTTAACCATGATGGATTTTAGTCCATTTTTAGCTCCTCCGGGATGTAATTCGTCCACAGAACAGCTGATTTTTAAGATGGAACTGCTTTATTCAGTCGGACAAAACAAAAGTCACCGAGCTGGAAGACAAATTAACAGAGAACATAAATACATTAAAACAACAGTAAGAGTAAGTTATGTTGACATAAATTACCACTTATGTTACCACATTAGCATTAATAACTGCACAATAGTATATTAGAAGTGTTATGTTAGTATTAATATTTTGCTGCATTAGTAAAAGCCTGCTGCTCACGTTGTTCTCCTTTTTGTTTTACAGATGAGCTCTCCATATTCGGAGTAAAGCGAGATGATACATGCAACATATTTTCACGCAGGCCCGACGCCACTTTCTTCTCTACATCCTGATTACAAGGAAACAGATTCTGCTGTGTTTAAAGGGTGGTTATACCAGATTCATTGCCCGAGCCGTTCATTGTTTTATGTTTTATATATTCAGAATTGATCTAAAATGAATTTGTATGTTTTTAAAGTTGCTTTTGAGTTACTTATATTTTAACTGACTGGTGTTCTGTAAAGCCAGTATTGTATATAAAACGATTTAAACATACAGACTGCAGTGTTGACATTGCTACTTCATTTCCGCATCGGTGACAGCAACGTCTCTTTTGTCTTAATGGAAAAGAAGTTGAAGTTGGTGGTTACACAATTCAATCTGTGTTGCATGACTCACCCACATCATCACACATTAAACCATTCAAGCTTAGCTCTACAGCTTTTATTTTGGAAGCAGCCGGAAGTAAAGGCCTGCTGAATGCTCCCTGCTTGATACATGTGCTTACTGTATTTATCGAGAATCATGTGATTCCTGGAGAGTTCAGTCTGAGTGGGTGGAAGTGTTAATGTGTTCTCAAGTCACTAACCTTGAATAACTTTCCAAATGTACACTATGCCGTTTATTAAAATAGCATTTTATCATTTATTATCCGCCCCTTTTAATACATTTGGCAGACAGCGTGCAGAACCTGACAATAAGATGTATTTCAGTGCCAGCAACCAGTGGGTTCTGCACCTATTGGCCCACCGGTCCTCACAAGGCCTCTGACACCACTCTGTGTATACACGGTGGGGAGGGGGGCTTCAAACAAAAATGCATCAAACACATATTTAAAGGAGAAAAACAATGAAGAAGTCAACAGTTGGTAGTTCAGCTTTAGGAGGACATACGAGTCAGGAAATAGTCGGATTAAGCAACAGAGATAAAATGTAGAAGTGCAAACTTCTCATGTAACTCGTATTTCTTTTAAAATACTGTGCTGTGCCACCAAATAAATCACTAAATTATACTTTTCCATGATGAGTTTGGAGTCTGTGTGCCAGAGTTCACCAATATGGGATTTTTGAGACCGGTGCCGATTTTAGATGGGGGAAAATTCACTTCTTTCTGCATTATATACCAGAATATTGTTGACAATACGATACTGATATATCTGCTGTAGGCCAATATCTGATGGATATATCAGTCAGGCTCTACAAATTATTACCATTATGACCTGAATGTGACCAATACAACAATGTAAAAACTGCCAAATGCTGTTTAAGTAAATAAAGTAACACTCCTTTATTCAAAGTCTGTCCTCCTCAAGTACAGAAGTGAAATATTAAAGGTAAAAGTAACAGTGACTGATACATATTAGATTAATACTGATGCATTAAAGTGTAAGCAGCACTTATGCTTGTTAAACCATTTTATTATGATACTTTAACAGAACATGCACATTAACAGTATGTACACACACACACACACACACACACACACACACACACACACACTCTGCTCATGCCATTGATACAAAATACAGTAAAAACAAGCAAAATACAAACATATACACATGTAAACATATAGATATTAAGAAAGAGTGGTGGTCAATAATGTCTCATCAGCTCTTCTTATTCTTAAATCCTTCTATGGTGGTTATGTTCAATATAACCCGGAACACAAGAGTCCGGAGTCTTATGAAACCAACACAGCTTCTCACATAAAAAAAACACGATTTATCTTGTTTAGTTTATTTTTTAAACAACCGGAAACTCATACTAGGCAACCACCGGGTGACTTGACACCGTTTGTGGAGCCCATTTCTCGAGAATCATGTGGTGTGTATGTGGGAGTGCCCGGTGACTATAACACACCCTTCCTTCCTCCTCCTGTCAGACCCACACAGACAGTCTGACTGCTTTCATACATAATCCTGCTCCCTCATCGATCAACTACAAACAATAACAACCACATGGTAGGTTCAGTCCTTTTGTTTTCTGTAGGAATATGTAGAATACAATAACACTTATATTGTGTTTTTTTTTTATGGGAACTTTGTCCTTTCAAGACGCACAAGCAGCTGTACTGCTCCATGCCGGAGGATCGGATGTATTATGCGTTATGTAGTTTTTCAGACCGGTCACTTGTTCTTGCAGATGGCCCAGTGGCAGGAACTGCTGAGGCTGGATTCAGAGCTCCAGAGCCGGGTGAGCCAGCTGTATGAGGGGAAACTTCCCAGAGAGATCCGCCACTATCTGTGCGTCGTGATAGAGAGCCAGGACTGGTAAGAGAGACCTCTATTCAGACTTTCACAAGGACAGCATTTATAAAGGTTGCTATGCACTAATGCAGTTGCCCAAATGGCGGCGAATTCCTGCAAAAGTCGGGATTTTTGGATAAATTACGCACGCTCTCACCCATGCGTAGAGCTCAGCGACGTCAGATGGTGAGATGATGAAACAAAGCTCAGTCCTCAGATGCAATACTACTGCAATGCAGTGATATTGTGCGTATCTCTTAATGTGGATATTGCTGTTATTATTGCCACTGAAAGCTAAAGAAGAAACTAAAACTGGGTCCTGGCCGACATGTGCGCACTGCAGACGCGGTTCGGCACTGGCGCAAAATACAGTTGGTATACCATGGGCACAGGAAGTAGAGCTGCAGCACCCACCAAAATCTGTCATAATGAAACCTGTTAGTTTATAGATATATATGACTTGCTCGTTTATACTGGGGTTTTCTATATGTACACTGTTATTTGTGCCAAGAAAATAGTTTTTTTATTGTTTTTTTTCCTGCTAAAATGTCATAAAATGTGTGTAAAATGTTGTTAATAACTCTTAAACAGGCTATAAATTGTCCCTGCCATTCAAATTAATCCAAAAACAATGAATGTTGTGCATTAAGCATTTAGTATGCCGTCATTATATAGAGACATTTTCTCTCAGCACCCTCAACTCTGACTGACTACCAGCGTATACTGTATGTGTATGTAGATAGTTTGGTATCAGAGCTTTGTTGGTTGTTTTCACCTTAACTTTAATCAACAAAACGTTTAAAAGAAGGCTATGACAATCTCTCTTTAAGAAATATGACACCGGCCTATTAAAACGTGAGTCAGTAAAAACACACAACTACAGAAACACAAGATAAACATTGTGATATCTCCACAGTCTTCACAGTCAGTTTAGTATCAATACAATTTATGAAGGTTTTATAGATCTTACGTAAACAGATTGAGAGGCTTGGGAGTAAACTGTTTTAAGATAGAATGTGGCCTCTGATTATTAGGGTGTGGTGGAGGAAGTTGTTCAAATCCTTCACTTAAAGCTGCAATAGGGAACGTTTACTAACGGTAGTACATGAGACAAGTGTCCCACTTCATGGGCCTAAGCTGTGATTTGATTGGCTCTTGTTTTCAAACGTCAAATCACTGCAGTGAAAGAAGCAGGGAAAGTTTGCCATCATGGGGCTGTGATGTTTGATGTCTTTGCTACGGCTAACAAGGAAATCTGTATAGAGTTACCACAAATTCTCAACCTGTGCAGATTTAGGTGGAATATGATGGAAACTACCACGAACAAAAGGAAATGCAGCTACAACAAAGACTGGGAAACCACCTATAAGTCTGTGGAAGGCGACTATTGCAGACTATTAATAGCATAAGACCATAAGAACTGTGAAACTTTAGTTTCCTTTTATGTTTAATGTATTTACATGATATGGGAGTTTGGAGAGTTGCGTATGAATAAAATACATTTATTGAGTCCTTCACAAAGTCTAAAGGCCTAAACTGTTACGACTACCTCAAAATGTGCCACAATAACGTACTCTGGTCACATTATCTGTGACATCAGGGGATGAGACACAACTCTTTACTCTGCTCTGATTGGTTGTTTTCATATACTACTGTCAGGATATAGTGAAAGTTTCAGCAAATATGACAAAAAGTGTTGTTGTTTAAAGGCAAATCTTTGTTACCTTAGCCTTTTTTATCTTCCAGATGCTACAACTCGCCTTCCATGGAGTCATTTTGAAGTTTTGAGTTTTGCGGCCACCTTAATTTCCCCTACTCACTTCTCATCGTCTCATTCCCATGTCGTTAAATCTGCTGTTTGTATTATCAATTAATTGATCGTTGGTTTGTACAAATTCAGAAAATACTGAGAAATGCTGTCCAGCAATTGTCCAAACCTCGAAATGATTAAAAATACATTAAAAATTATATAAATAATTAAAAGGAAAAGCTGCTGATGGAATTATTTTATACAGATTGTGCCCTCATTCCTGCGTAGACATTCACAATCCCTGACTGAATGTGAGTCTCCTGTTGCTCTTTGTCAGGGATTCGGCAGCTGATGATGAAAATAAAGCAAGAACTTGTTTCAATGCACTCCTCGAGTATTTGGAAGAACAGTGGAACCGTTCTATCCAGGAGAACAACATTTTGCAGGGACCTGATTTTCCAGGGATCAGAGACTACTTGATGGTAGGGCAGATGTGCTGTTATAGGAACAGTACATTTAATTTTAATTGTTTTTTTTATTAAATATGAATAATTATAGCCTCTTATTACTTTTGTGATTGTTTTTTTCCACTTAGAAACACTTTCAAGCTCAGCCACTATACTTGGCCGTAATCCTGTCTAAATGCCTAAAGGAGGAGAAGAAAATCCTGGCTACAGCTTCTGAAGCACAGGTAAGGTGATATCAGCTGTAAACTTCAAACTGAACAAGACGACTCAGGGACCTGAGCACTTTTGTTTAGTTTAACTTTCCCTTTGATCAAGTGCTACACAGATGAGTATGATGTCTTTCTACTTGTTCTGTCTCATTTAGACAAAGATAAGAGTAATGTATTTGTTTTTGTCAGGGTTGCGGCAATCCAGCCTTGGATCAAAAATGGAGAATGTTGGACAACAAAGTCAATGAAATGAAAAGGAGGACTTCGGTAAATGTAGTTTTTGACTACGCACTTATTTGCTGGTTTGTATTCCTGCCTGACAGCCAACGTGGGAAATACACAGTGTATCTTTTTCTTAATATGTGAACTCTATTGCAGGATTTAAAGAAGGAAATAAAGTCACTGGAGGACCAGAACGAAAACCTAGAATTCCTACAGGAGACCTGGCAAATCCAAGGTATGGTGGGAGGCATAAAGACACAGGTGATAGGGGTTGTTTCGAGTACATGCTTCACTTATGTCTCATATTATGTGTCATATTTGTGCTTAACAGTGAAGGAGCATGTTGGATTGGCTCAGTCCCAGGCTGTTGTGAAAGAGAAATGTCTTAAGCAGGCCAACATTATCACACAAACAAAGCAGGTACTGCACTCCACTAGACTCCACTACAGTTGCTTTTCATGATTCAGTCCTCAAAAACATCCATATTTATCTTACTGGGGCCCTTTATACAGCCCCTTAGTTCAGTGGTTCCCAATCTGGGGGTCGGGACTCCCACAAGGGGTTGACAAAGCTTCATGGGGTCGCAAGACCTCCTTGATTTTAAGGGGTGGACAAAATTTTTTTTATATACACAGTAGGCCTATATCTCAGCATTTGGTTCACTTATGTGAAGAAAAGTAAATGGAAAGTAAAGTAAATTGTCTAATAGAATAACGGTAAAGCGCCAAGAACAAGAGAACACTGAAATTGTAAAAAAAAAAAAAGAAGCCTATTAAGAAATTAAAAAATAGGAAATAATCTGCTCAAAATTCACCCATATTGCTTGTTTTTACACAAACTTCCTGCAGTTACCGAGTTCACTGTTTGGGTTTATTGTACCGTTTTGAATAGAAGTATGAAATATCTATAAGTTATATATATGTTATATATAAATTAATGGACACCTAGCAGTATTCAGTATTCACCCAGACCATGGTATACAAATAGTTTAAATCATGGGTGCTTTTCTTGATGTAATGATTCTAAGCCACAGCAATCTCTACATTAGCAGTAAGGTTGTTGTTCAGCAGCTTAATTACACTTCTTCCCCACATACTTTAAAACACTTGCTGTGTTTTGTTTTTTGTCACACAGATATTGCTGCAGCAGATAGTGAACATTTTAAAACTGACCGAGGAGATTGTGGCAACTCTCACAGATGTGGAGTTGCCTGAGTGGAAGCGCAGGCAGCAGATGGCCTGCATTGGAAGTCCAGTTGACATCTCGCTGGACCATCTCCAGAAGTGGTGAGGACTTACTGGTGCTACCTTGGCTTTTCATGTTTCACACTGAGGCTGTGACACTTATTAACTTATTAATGTTGCACACGCAGGTTCACGACTGTGGCGGAGGAGCTGCTACGAGTGCGTGAACAGCTGCAGAAACTGCAAGACCAGAACACAAAGTACAGCAGCACTGATAACTCCAACCTCGCCGGTCCCATGGCAGAAATTGAGAAATTTGCACTGTCCTTGCTCAGAAAACTTGTTGCAAAGTGAGACATGGCATCATATAACTCTTCAGTGTTGTATACAGTACATACACGCAGACTGATACACACCGTTTTTTTGTTGTGGTCTTGCTTTGCAGTGCTCTCGTGGTTGCAAAACAACCTGCCATGTCGAGTTTACAACAACGACCTCTGATGCTGAAGACCAGGGTGCGATTCTCGGTGACAGTGAGGTGAGGCTGCACCGCACACAGTGTTGCTCTGAGGACTATTAAGGAAAAATCTGCCCAAACAGAGCTGATACATCTAGGTTGGATAAAAAACTGTGGAGTGACTGGAACCAGGGATGCAGTTATTTATAGTATTTATATATTCACTATAGTTCAATCCTGTGCAGATATTCAGTTTTTGGTCATTCTAGGTTGAGTAAGGAGCAGTTAAAACTGTTTCTCCAGCAATTGTACCGTCTGTTTAATGTATTTTCTTCTGTATCAAAAATCTGTATCTGGGATCATTTATCAGTATGTGTTTCTTCTCTCCTCAGGTTCTTAGCAAACCTCCCAGTATTCAAGGACCTGCTGAAAGTCAAACCTGTATTTGACAAGTAAGTCAAAGAAAACCTTGGTATGAGCCAGCTTCCTTTTTTTTATTGTTCTTTGTTTCCTTATCAATCTTCCTTTGTCTCGTTTCTCCTAAAAAAAATAAGGGATGTTCAAGAAGCCAAGACAATTAAAGGGTAAGTAAAGGTTATCAAAACCACTGGAAAAATCTAAAAAGTAAACTGATGCATTGCTTACATTTTCATACATCTCACAGCTGATACATCTTTGAACACAGAAAAACTCTGGTTTGATGTTGCTGCAGGTTCCGTCACTTTGAATTCAACAGGGAGGAGTGTAAGGTGTTGGATGTGGACACGCCGGATGGAGGCTTGGTGGCAGAGTTTGGTCACATGGTATGAAAGTCTGCAAACTGATGTTAAAGCAAAATATAAATCACATTTTGTATCTGTGTCCATCTGTAACTAAACAAACATATAGCTTTGTATTTTATGAACAGTAATACAATGCATACATCACATGCCCTAAACCAGAATAGTAGACTATATAATGACTGCTTTTTTTTTCAGTTTCTAAAGGAAAAAAGAGGAAGATACAAAGGATCCTCTGAGGTATGAGGAGACATTCAAATTCTGATATATTAACTGTATTCACAGGTCGCCACCGGCTGGCTGTCGACATTTAAAATCACTGAAAAATAATACCATGTTTTAAAACTTAAATCTCTGCCTTCCTCAAAAGTGGTTATGAGATAAAAACATTTTGTAAGCTTTGAGGGATCTAACGTAGTGAAGGTGATGAAGTTACAATGTTTGATGGCATCTTTTAGAGGGAAAAGGCTTCAGTACAAGAATGTATGATTACTTCAGAGTTAATAAAATACATTTAAAGGATTTAATGACCTCTAGTGGTGAAGTTGCAGATTACAGCCACAGTACAGTCTTCCAAGCATGTAGAAGAAACTTTGGTAGCTGGGAAACCCTATCTAGAGCCAGTGTTTGGTTTGTAGTGGTTCAACGTAGAAGAGGACCCTCTCTCTCTATATATATATATATATATCAGCTCATTCTGAGGTAACAAAAACACAGCAAATCTTATTTTCAGGTGATTATACACTAATGAAAACATAAATATTATATTCCATTTCTGCCAATTAATCCTCCTAAATGTTGGACACACTGGACCTTTACGTTTTTCTTTCTGTACACTACTATATTTATTTTTATGCAAGTCATTTCCCCCTAAAACAATGTTTCTATCTTCTTCATCAGACTCGTCTGGGCGTCACCGAGGAACTCCACATCATTAAGTTTGTGGCAGAGTTTAAACATGCTGGACTGGAGTGCAACCTTGAGGTGAGTGAATGATCATTTCCCTTTCAGCGAGCTCTTTGCCACTGAACTTGAACAGTAAGCGGTTGACAAGAAAGCTCTATTAGAGCTGCAATTGTGTCAGTGACAGACAAATATTTTAATGTTTATTGAACAATCTCCTCCTCTTCCTCCTGTGTCGGTCCAGGCCAGCTCCCTGCCTGTGATTGTCATCTCCAGTACCAATCAGGTCCTCAGTGCCTGGGCCTCCGTCATGTGGTACAACACACTGTCCACCAGCGAGCCGAGGGTAAAGATCTGTTGAAGGGTGAGACATAAAACAGTCGTAAATATGCACATTAGACTCATTTGTCCGAACTTTGTTCTGTAGAACCTGTCGTTGTTTGCCGACCCGCCACCACTCACCTGGCAGCAGCTGTCTCAGGTTCTGAGCTGGCAGTTTTTGTCCGTTGGAAAGCGAGGACTCGACGAAGATCAGCTCGCAATGCTGAGAGACAAAATTGTGGGGGGTGAGTGTTTGACCACCTCTTCCACAGAATTGAATGGTGTCGCTTTCTAGGGATAGTTTGCTCTGTAAGACTTCACCTCTTGTTGCAGAAGAAGATTAAAATTGATTCTACATTACATTTTAATGACAGATACTGCATCAAAAAATGAGCTGAGAGTTAGATGAGAAAACTTTTGTTTAAACATGTTAATTAGTGGATTTTGTTGCTGTTGGACAGAGCCAGGCTTGCTGTTTCCAATCTTTATGCTAAGCTAAGCTCGCCTGCTGTGCTGAGAGTGGTATCAATCTTCTCGTCTAGCTCTCAGAAAGAAAGTGTATTTGGTAAAATGTCAAACTATTCCTTTAAAACTGTGTTTTTTGTGCCCAAGGCAAGTCAAGACACCTGTATTTATATCTGTGAAAAACGGCCTCTAAAACACTTGTTATCACTCTGTAAACACTTATTTTTATTGACTTAAATTTGACAAACAGCTATCTATACTACTGATATAGTAAATTAATAATTAATTAATAGCTTTTTGTATAGTTTGTGTATTACATATTGTATAGTTGTATAGTTTATATTGTACTAAATATGGTTCTTGAATTAAGCATCTTGTATTCTTGGATGTTAATTTCTCTACTTTTCTTCACAGATGGTCCTGATGATCTCGTGCACTGGAGCAAGTTCTCCAAGGTGAGTGTTGAGGAAGATTCTTGTTATTATTGTAGTTTACGCCAGTGGATCCCAACCTGGGGGTCGGGACCCCCACTAGGGGCCACCAATGCTTCATGGAGGGTTGTGAGGTCTTCTTCTTTCTCAGCATTTGGTTCACTTCTGTCAAGTTAAAAATTATTTTAAAAATACAAAAGACAGACTAGACAGACAAGAGAATTGTACAAAAGCTTCCTTAAACATGTTTTACACAAACCTCCTGCAGTTATTGAGTTCACTATTTGGGTTCATTGTACAGTTTTGAATATAATATGAAAAATCGGTTAAGGAAAAAGGTTTGGAACCACTGGTTTACACAATTGGTACAACCTCTAGGACTTAAGTGTGTGTGCATTCATTGAAACCAAGCGTGAACCTATCGTAACATCACTCATTGGTTTGTGGAGAACCGTTTGACGGCATTACGGTTGTCAGCATGTCGGTTTTTCTGAGCCAGCTGAGGTGAAGTACTCCAAGTCTGTAGCAGGAAACACTAAAATAGGTTCCTGAAAAGATTTTAAGGGAGAAAGAGTCAATGCAGAGAATGAATCTTGATTCATATTTGATCAGCACCGCCTAGTTTACTGAGTTTTGTGTGTTGAGCTGGACTCACTGAGAATGAGTCAATCGCAATTTAGCCACGACCCAAAGCATACCCTGCGTTATTGTCTGTTTCACTCTAAATGGGACCATCATTTATTACATGAACAGGAACTTGAAAGACCCACTAATTATGTACTGTCAATGACCGTAACCAGTCCTTCTGTTTGCCTTCCTGTGTGGACAGAACGAAGGTGCCTGGATTTGGATTGACGGAATCCTGGATTTGGTCAAAAAACACCTGGTGGATCTTTGGCGGGACGGGTAAGACAAATCCTGAGTCATCTCAGCAATGTTTTACTGAATCACTCACAATAATTATCACATTAGTAACGAGATGGTGGTCAGCAGCAAATGAGACCACTGAAACATAACGAAACAGTCTTCTAAGTATCATTATTTTGTGTCCAAATCCACAATTTAACAACAACAACTTGAATATATATGCTGTTGTTTCACTATCAAATCTCGATTTGTGATTTGATCTTGATAAAGAGATAATTTCACCAGTTGAGAACAAACACAAAAACAAAAGAATAGTCTCTAGGTGGAGCTGAAGGGTACTTCATAATGACAACTCACCTGCAAAAATCCACCAGCAGGATTAATCCTGTTCTGGGAGAATCGTCTGTCCTGCTTTTGATTGCGATACTCAAAACTTTGACACCTCTGTTACTTGTGAATGAGGATGGAGATTTCAGTCACTGTGCCTCCCAGTTAACTAAACTCTCATCATGTGGGTTTCAGTTGCATCATGGGGTTCGTGAGCAGGAAGAGAACACTGACCTTGTTGCAGGAAAAACAGACCGGGACCTTTCTGCTCCGCTTTAGCGAGACCAACAAAGACGGAGCCATCACCTTCAGCTGGGTGGAGCACACCAACGGTGGTACGTTTCTCTACATGCTTCTGAGGTCGGACAAAATTCAAAACTTGGGTTTAACGACATGATTGGGACTGATGACATCTATCTGGTGGAAAACCTTTTTAGATAGCAGCTGGACTGAGTAACACTAACAGTATTTCTACATTGTAACAGCAATCAAGTTTTCTGGTTGTTACTGGTACTACTCATGCCTAATAAGTTATAATTGGGTTTAAGTGGGTTAGTATGAGGTAGTATGAGGCCAAAGTCAGTCTATTACCTACAATAGATGTCGGTTGGCACGGCCTCGATTTGGAGAAGCAGACATGAAAGCTAAGCTGCAGAACACAGGAGTTTCTGGTTCGCCACTGCCTCAATCAGTTTGTTTGTTTGTTTGTGTGATTTTGGTATTTTAACACGTTCATTTTAGATCTGAGCTAACGTAAGTTGCTGCAGATCAAGCAGTGGTACACCAGCTAAAAGAATTACTATTTTACTTATTTTAGCAAAATAAAGTGGTGAGAATATTCTAAACATTGTGTACACTCTTTTGCATGCACGTGTTTTATTGCTTCAGTGCTGGTACTCCAGTGTGCTTTACCAAACCAGGGGCGTGCCAGCCGCCGTATACTGTATCTAATACACTGATTTGTCTTCTTTTGTGTGTTTACTTTTCTTTCTGTATGTGGTTCCCCTGTAGAAACCCACGTGCATGCAGTGCAGCCCTACACCAAGCCTGAGCTGTCTGGCATGTGTCTGCCAGACATTATTAACCTCTACAGTCTGAAAGCTGAGACGAACGTGACCGGGAATCCTCTGCGCTATCTTTACCCAGACATTCACAAAGACACCGCTCTTGGACGCTACTACAAGAACTCACGTAATGTCGCTGTCGCATATATAATACACATAATGTCACATAAATAACTGACAGAACTTCAGTTTCTACAATCGGTATCCATCTAAAAAATCCTATATCAGCCGGGCTCTAATTCCAAAACACTTTATTCATAAGTGTCATCAATTATGTGCTGAGCCAATGTTTTAATGAGGCTTGGGTTATCCTGTTTAAGTCAGTGTAATGTCCTTAGCTGCGTACAATTCCTTATTAAACATGAGCCCTGCAATGACCTCTAATCCCCTCTGTTCCTGCAGCACTGTCAGCAACTCAGAAGATCATTGATGGGTACGTCAAGAGGACCAACATTCCCGTGTCAACGTAAGACGATAATAATTAAAACGAAAAATACATCCAGAATAAACACTTTGCATCACTTATTTTTGACCTACAGCTGTTCCCTAACATTTTCTACAGCTTTCCTACGCCACCTCCATCTCCACCTAGGGAGATTCCCTTTACGGACATGGACATGGACATGGACACAGAAATAAGTGTGAGTTTGAAATGTTACCTCTACTTTCCCTGCAGTCATTAAAAGGTGAAGTATTTCAGTTTTAAAATGTTAAAAAATCAACAAAAATGATGAACAGAATGTGAAGAAATACCAGTTTTGACGTTCGATCAAAGACGTCTATGTGTTGATATAACTTTGTATCATAAGAGGCAAAAGTGAGCAATGTTGGGCTAGTTATGAATTATTCATTACTCATTACAATAGTAATATTATTACTTAACTAAATACTCCCTGCCAACAGTAATTAGTTCTACTAGTTCTATAGCCGGCTGGATTGATTTTCCTTGTTTGTATGAGACGACTTTTCATCTGCAGTTAATTTAAACAAAATCTTTTTGTTTTTTTGTAGATGGACCTTGATCAACTGCTTCAGGAACTCTATCCTGATTTCTTTGGCCCCGGAACATCATCTCAGAGCTTTGCTGATTATAGTAGCTCATACTAAAAATGTGCTGTCCGATTCAGAGTCGGGATGTCCCGATCCAATCTAGGCATTTTTTTATACTGATCTATATTGAGAGTTACTGACCCAATCCGATCGTTGTTTCTGTTTTTACTCATAAAGCTTTCATGCACTGTGCAGCGATCATCAACTCTCTCTGTGTGTATATAAAATACTTGATATGAAATTACTTGATCGGGACATCCCTAATTCAGTGTTCTTGTGGTGCTGGTGTTTCTATGAAAATGAAGCATCATACTGGATATTAATGTACAAAAAAAGGATTATTGATGATTACAATTACAGTAAATTTAAGATTCTTCTAAATGTAATTGAAATGTTTTTCTACTGTACTGTTTTCAAAGTGAACTTCCTCTTAGGAATGTGAAAGGAAGATGAAGTTATGCTGCTGTGTGTGTGTGTGTGTGTGTGTGTGGGGGGGGGCGCAATACTGTACTGTAGATGTTCTTTATTTTTGTTTATTAAAATAAACATATCTGAACGCATTCCAGTGCCAAGAGACATTACATCTGCATTATACAGTACTCAACATATAATAATAACTTTGTTTATACAGAGAAGAGCACAAACACATTCATAGGTCTCATGTCTTGACTGCAAGTTTTGTATTATTGTAGTCCTTGTCCATATTTTCAGCTCTTAAATAAGTGGAGTCCCACAAGCAAGTGTGTTACTAATCGGTTACCTGATGAGTCTGAAGTATAACTGAGTACATATGTGCCACAAGAGTAAATTGAATAATTTGAATATTTTGTTAAAATAACCAGTGGATAAAATATACCAGAATGTAGCCTGAAGTCACAATTTGTCAACATTACTGTCTTCTGACACCATTACATGCTTGTTTCCATCAATATTGTTTTGTATACAAGTCGGATGAATGTATACACAGGAGTAAAACAAGCCTATATTTTTATTTAATATGAAAAGCATGAAAAATATATTCAGTACATTAAAGTACCCAGAATATTAATGTTTAAAAAAAAACACAGATTGGGCTTTTAAAAACTAGTTTGCCTCCACAGTTTTTCTTACATACCAGTCGATCCCAACCTCTTCTATCATTAAGTAAACTGACGACCCCTGACTAAGTGACATATTTTATGGATATTTAATATCATATTCAGTGCATTACAATATTGGTACAGAACAACTGACAAACTGTACAATGAACCCAAACAGTGAACACAATAACTGCAGGAGGTTTGTGTAAAACGAGGAATTTGGAGCAGATTATTTCTTGTGAATATTACATCAGAGATGAGTTTTCCTGATATTTTTAGTAACTTTTTATACCTTTTACCAATAAAAAAACATATGATAAGCTAACACTTTGCCAAAGATTTAACCACCCGTAAACAAAGCACTATTCAACTTTTTTTTGTCTTGGGAACCCTTAAAGGACGAAAACAGTGTTGAGTTTGGATCCATCGTCATATTTCATATGTGAGTTGTTACCTGTTGAACCAAAGAGATGTTTTCCCCACTCAACTTTAAATAACTGTTAAAGCCCCAAATGGGTCAAATTATTCAATTAATCAAAGATTAGACAGAAATCAAATGAAAAAATACAGATTGGTATCTGATTACTCTTTAACTTCTACTTTTTGAATAGCTGACTTTTTTTTACATTGTCTTTAAGTAAAGTAATTTAATTGTAACCAATTAGTCATGTACAGCATGTTTTAAACTTTACTTTAGACTCATCAGATCGTCCTTCTGGGGCTCCACAGTGTGCAGAATGTTTTTTTCTACCAGTATTGCGTCGGCTCCTTTCTTTGTAATTTTCCGAGATCAAACACCAAGAATCACTATTGAGATATTAAAGTGAATATAGTGTAAAGTATTTTAAATTCCAGTTTTCAGGAAATACATATTGCTACAGTGAGACTATGAAAAACCGCCACCATGACTTGAAGCCTGTTACAGTTATTGTACGGTATGCAATGTTGACATTTATATACTTTCTCATACTACATATCATTGAGGACATTTCGGTACATTCTTAAATTCATAGACTTTTTGGACTGAAAATATGTGACAGAGAATTGGGAAATAGCATCAGTTCTGTAAGAATCACTGCAAGAAATTCAGAATAATTACTGTCATCGTCAAACGTTTCATAAATTGTGTTGCTGAAGTTGTTCCGTGCAGCAAACCCAAAAAATGTGATTGTCTATAAGTAATGAAACCAATTTGCAAAAATATATAATCTTCATTAGATTCTTATTTTTCGTTTGAAAAAAGGAATTTGTTTGCTCACACTGTTGACAGGAAAGGACGGAGAATCCACAATCTTCTGTCAAGTTTACAAACTCTCACCACTGACCGTATATAAAAATGGACGACATGACAGCTCCCCAAAGTGAAGCAATTAGCCTTGACCGAAGTCCCCTAACTGTTACATACATGATAAATACATTATTTTCGGTGAACTAACGTCTTAGTGATGTAGTTTGTTATCCCACATGAATAAAGTAGAAGCTAACTTCCATCATGGAGAATAAAAATCAATCTCAGTTTCTCTGGAGTTCTTGCTCGTCCATCTTTATATACAGTATGTACTCACACACAGAAAAATGTAACTTTGAATAAAAAACAAAAATAAAGTCACCAACTTTACTCCATCCCAAATTACACAGTCTCAACGTCTTTAGAAGAATTTTACACTTTAAAAAGTCTCTTTATGAAATAAATACACACTGCTTCTATTGCCACTGAAAAATACATTCAGAGTACATTCTTTCACCAAACTTCAGAGATTTGAAGCTTCGTAAAAACCTGCCGATTGAACTCAGTCCCGAGAACAATGCAGGTAATATGGAGATCCGACAGGCACACAACCGCAGTGTGCCCACACACACACACATATCATACGATCAGACACGCATTATAAAGTCTATACCATAATTTCCACACACCTCACTTCTCACAAAACTAACACAATCCAAATATTACCAGGTAGAGAATAGTACAATAGAAACTGTACTGTAACTAAACTAATACACTTTGATACAATCTAAATCCTGTGATACCACAAACGTGAATGACAGTACTGACAGATTACATGGAGTAGTACGCTGTAAACGTTGCATTTACGGATATCTAGATATTGTATCATTTGTTCTAACAGTGCTCATAAGGTGCTCACTCACACATACAAGACACGTTACATCATGAGACGGGCGAGGCTGAGATGTACAGCCAGAAAGCAACTAAAGCAACAAAAGGCAAATAACTAATTCATCACGTTTAAGTTAATCCAGAGAAGCACAACGCCGCGTAGGAACTTGTTCTCTAGACGTGTGCAGCAGGTCTACAGCAGGCTGTCCAAGTTCTTCTCAGCGCTCTCCGTGTCGACAGCAGCAGGAGACGGGCTGTATTTGTCGTGGTACTGCTGCAGGATGGTGACGACGTCGTGGTGGCCGAAGTGTACCGCTTCCTCCATCGGCGTGTTCCCCCATCTATACAAAGACAACCAGTGGTGGAGGAAGAGTTCAGATCCTATACTTGAGTTAAAAAGGACCAATAGCACACTGTTAAAATACTCTGGTGGAAGGAAAAGTTTACTTAACTAAAAGCATGTAGGTATAATCAGGAAAATGTCCCCTGTGACTGTTGTATTGTATTATATCATTACATTATTATTACTTACTAATGTAAAAGCAGGATGGTACAACTATTACTACTACTATTCTTTTAATTGTGGATTCATTTACTGATTATTTTCTCCATTAATCAATTGATTGTTTGGTGAAAAGAGAGAGAAATTATACCAAAGTGACGCCTACACAATCCTCAAAAACCTCAAAATGATTCAAATGAAAAGCAGCAAATCTTCTACTATTACAGTATGACATAACAATTAACAAAATAACTGCAGATTCATTTCCTTTCAATCAGCTACTGTAATTGATTAATCGACTAATCGTTTCAGCTCTACTTGCGTACAATGTTGGGTAGTTTTTATCAGCTCTTTGTAAGTTCTCTACATATTCTTTAAGATTAATTTTTCTCCCTTAAACTACTTCACTGAAACTTGCTTCAAAAGGGCAAGTTGCCAAGTTTTCAAACATAGTAAATTCAGTCCCGTGAATGGATTGATTTCCAAAAGATTTATTGCTGGAGCGAAAGCTGCACAGCTTTTAAATGACCAAACTGACACTTATTTTTATAACTGCAGTAACTGTAACTGTCCCCTGTTGTTAAACTAGTCTTAAAAATGAAGGTGACTGAATAATCCCTGTGAATAACAATTTAAAGTAATGTTCTGTAAGTTTATTTTCACATTTTCCAAAGCAAAAAACTCTAAAGTTGTATTGTTGTTATGTTGCTTTTGAAAATGGTCAGCAGAAATGTTTGTGTACGCATAAGATTTGTAATCAATTATATAATATACGCATTATAAACTGTCATTATAGTCCTTCTGCTTCTACTGATTCATACTTACTGCTCAAGTTAAAGAGAAAGTCATGAGGTGGAGAGCCACACCATGTATATTTTCTGCTACATTAAAAGTTTGAAGACGTACAGATGATGAGGAAAGACCACACACACTAGAGCCTGGACTCACCTGTCTCTGGGTACTGGGTTCACCTTGCAGGCCTCCAGGAGGAAGCGCACCACCTCTGTGTGTCCTGAAAGAAGAGCAGATGTTAGAAACACATACATACATATGAATCTGATTGGTTGGAGAGGTGTAAAATCCTCTCACTATTGTCAGACTCTTGTTTATGGGGGCATTTCTTTTGTCACATTAAAACATTTCTAATATATGGAGATAATGAAAAAACAGCCCCACACAAAAGTGCAGAAAGTATGTAGACAGGACCAATATTTAAGTATATTTTATTATATTGATGATTCCACAGGTTTCAGCTGAGGGAGGAAGGAGCCTAAGAACCAATTCCTACCACATAATAGTATATACAACACATTTTATACTCCACTACAATATCAATACAGATTGATAGATTGACTTAATGCTGCACGTTACCTTCAGCCGCTGCCACATGGAGGGCCGTTCTCGAGTCGTAGTCCCTCTGCTCCATGTCCATGGACGACAGCGCAAACCTACACACACACACAAAATGACTGTAATTACCTTTAATATGTACCTTTAATTATTAAATTCTTTATAAAAATGACACGTCTTATCAGCAAATTTAACAGTTTGAGGTTGCTCATCAGACTGAAACACTGAAGCGTTGCACTTTTTCCTCAAAACAGACGCTGTTTATAAAATTTTAAACTTCCATAGCATGCCATTCATAGTTTATCATCATCACCATACTTCTTCTTAAAGCTTCACTGTGGATGATACACATTGCTGCCAATGCTTCCCCACACCGAGAAACGCAACAACATGCCAACAAATGCAGGAAAGAAGAAATCTGCCAGCTCATAAACATGAACAATATTGGATTTAAAACATTTTAAATAATATATAGCAAATATTTTATGAGGAAGGATGTCGATGTCAACA